GTTTTGGTAGGACGCCCGCGCAGGGACCCCCACCAGCGCGTAGCCCAGAGTCCCGCGTCCAGGCGGGTGGGAGACGCGGTTACCTCCTGCCCCTCTGCCCGCCGAGAGCCATCGCAGCGCGGCTTCGCGCGCTCTGTTTTCATTTAATCTCTTGGGTTTTACGTCCTTATCGACCCGGGGAAAACATCGCTGCTTTTTTTTTTTCTTTTTTTACTCATTCTGAAGATGGTCTTGCTCTCAAAGGCTGGTTCCCCTATCTTCTCATCACAGCAGGTACTCTGTAGACCTCCAAGCAGAGCAGCTACACCCAAGCCAGGCTCCCGGCGTCCCGCACCGGCTCTGCCGCGTTCACGGTGCAACGGGCAACCAGGAGCCTGGGCTTGGCTCTCCAGGAGATTTAGGGAGCTTTGAAAACCAAACACATGCTTCCGATTCAGGGTGCACTGGTTTGAAATTGCAGGTGTTTAAAATCACTAATGAACATTGCAATCACTAATCAACGTTGCTGCGGGATTCCCGCCTGGATTCCCATCACTCTGCACTCCCCAAAACCTCCTCGCTGGGCGATCTCTGCGGTGGGGGCTTCTGGCTGGTGGGGTCAAGTCTGAGGCTCGGTGAAATCCCTGGACTTCAGACTTGATGATAAGAGGTTTCTCGCTCAGCGGTGACGCGGCACTGCTTGCCCTGCTGATTCACCGACGCTCGGTGATCCGAATCAGCCGGCTCTTTTCCACGTGGGCTGCACCAGGAGGGTCATTCATTGCCAGCCTCTCTTTTCCTCACGATAAAAGGAAAAACTACAATTCTGGCTGAGAAAACCCATCCAAAGACCAAATTCCAAAACCTCATTTGCTGCTCTGAAAAATTCTCTCTTGCCAGCTTTAAAGGATTTGGATAGTTGTATCATCTTAAAACCAGGCAGCAGAAAAACTCCTGTCAATTGGTAGTAGCCTGCATTTATTGCAGAAGAACATATCTGGAGAAACCTTAAAAGTATTCAACCGATGAATAAAAGCATTGGGGACCACACAGAGCATTTCCAATAGCTTTGTCCCGGTGCAGCCTGCTGCGGGGAGCGGCCGCTTGGTCCCTTGTTGTTATCCCCCTCGTCTGAACTGTTTCTTGGCTCCGCAGTTCGGCGATTCCCAGCAGCTGCGGCTGGTCCGTATCCTGCGGAGCACGGTCATGGTTCGCGTCGGTGGAGGATGGATGGCCCTGGATGAATTTTTAGTGAAGAATGATCCTTGCAGAGGTAAGGCAATTCCTGGGTTTTATACAGCCGGGGTCTTCGCACCCGGCAAGGGGAGTTTGAGAATTTGGCTGCTGTGACTGAATGGCCAGACGGACCAGAGGAGCGGGTCTGGGTTGTCCAAATATCAGGCGGGAGCTGGAGAAAAGAGATCCAAAGCAAAGCATAGAACTTAAAACCACGAGATTCGGCAATACTGCAGCAAATCTCGCAGCGTTTAGCCAGGTGTCTTGGGAGGAGAAGAGGGAAGGGTTGTGTGTCTTGGTTTTCAGAACCCAGCGAGCGGAGCTGCGTTGCCGTGCTGGGCGTCTCGGCTTCCCTTTGAAGCGCTCAGTGCGTACGTGCGGCTCTCTGGATGATGGAGTAAACTTTGGAAAGGTGACCTGAAAGAATTCAAAGGGTTCTGAGCCAGGAGATGGTCAAATCCTGGTCTGAGGCGCTCCGGGGAGAAGGTGCTCTGGCCCAGGGTCTGTGACCCCGTGTTACTGCTGCCCTGGGCTGTGGCCACGGGCCACTGACGGTCCAGCCTGGTCCTGGTGAGGGAGGGGACATTTCTCCTGTGACTTGCTACTCGATTTCTCCCTGGTCCGTTCCTAATACAAGTTTTCTCAGTTCATTTGCTGTCTTTAGAGCAGCGGCACAAGGAACTAGTTTGGAAACCCTGAGCTGCGCAGGACCGTGCAGCTTAAATACCTTTTGCAGCAAGAGCTGCTGTCGGTGCTGGGTCTTCCTCTAGTGCCTTAAAATCACCTTTCTTCCCCCAGCTCTGCCCCTGAGGGTGGAAATGTGGCCCTTTTTTTTCCTGGATTGCCACGTGCCAGATTTGAGTGGTAAAAGGGGGCTGCGTTTAGACGTCGTTGTCTGTGGGGCTGTTCAGGGCGGAGCTGGATTTCTTCGGGGGGTTTTGAGCGCCGCATCCTGCTCCAAGTGTGTCGATAAGTGTCACCTTGCACAAGCGTGTCCCAGGGATTGACCGGCCCGGCAGTGAAACAAAGTAGATGGTTCGGTTCAGCATTAATGCAGGAAAATTCAAGTGTAAGAAGCCGCTGGATGAACTTGAGCTTTTAAGGCAGACACATCAGAAGGGGAGAACCACCTCAGTCTTGGGTTTTTAGGGCTGAGCAGTGTTTGCTGGAGCTGTTTTGGTGGGACACGTTTGGAAGCGATGGTTGGGATAATGCAGACCAGGGTCGTGTACGGCGGGCACGAAGAGCTGCGGTCGTCTCCTTTCCAAGACCCTCAGTCTTGAGGTTTTATCCTGGTCAGAGCTGTCGAGCTGGAAGCGATGCTCTGCCGTGACCAGGGGACAGAGAAGGATTGGCAAGGGGGATGGCCGGGAGTGAAGTGCATCAGGGTGCAAGAAAGCAGGAATCTGTGACTCCTCCTCCCGTCGGCAGCGCTGATCTCTGCTCCGCGCAGCCGGGAGCCGCTGCCGGCGGGTCCCCCGGCGCGGTTCGGGGGAGGCGGGTGGGATGAGCAGCTCTGCTCTGGCGAAGAGGAGAGCAGGCAGCCGTGCGAGGGGACCGGAGCCCCTGCCTTCTGCCCCGCTGCTCCAGCGGGAAAGGAGCGTTACTGCAGCCCGCTGCGTGTTTTGGAGAGCTTCGGTCTGTGCTCCATGTGTCCCTGTCTCTCGCTGGGGTCTCCGAGATGTTAATTGCTTCGGCTGTGTCGTCTTCAAGCTGCCGCCTAACCGTTCCTCGCTCCTGCTGTCTGAGGGCTGTTGCGGGAAGCAGCGTGATTTACAGCGTGCGCCGCGTGCCTTGAGCGGTCTTCGGGGTTTTCCTAGTGCGCTTCTGCTCCTCGGGCCTCCCCGCTTCGTGCTTTGCAGCGGCTGGTTTACCGCGCTGGCATCGAGGTTGTTTCCATCCCTTGGTTAGCTCAGCGTGCTGCTTCCCTTCGGCAGTTGCTTCCTTGGCTTGCTGGTCCGTAGCGCATCGACTCGAAAATCAGCCCTGTGTCCCGCGGGGCTCGGTGCCTGCCCTTGCTCCCTCCTGGGGTGCCGTGGGTATGACACGGGTGGGCGTGCATCAGCCGGCCCGGGGGCTGAGGGCCACAGACCTGCCCCTTGCTGGTCGAAGAGAGACCCTCCAGCTCTTTGGGGCGTTCGGATGAAAATTTTAAAGTTGCCTTTTAATGGGTGGTCGCTTCTCCTCTCCTTTCCCCCAAAATTGGTGGAGAGCTGCCCGGAGCTGCGAGAGCAGAATCGCAACCCTTCAAAGGTGCTCTTGCTATTTTTAAGCTATGTTAAAGATGACCTTGGCCGCTGTCGTAACACGGTGTGTTTAAAGGTCGTCAGGATTGCTTTCCTCAAAACACTAGGGCATCACAGGCATCCAGCCCCAATTCGTGGGCCTCGGGCCAGTGTCTCGAGGGGCTGCCGCGTGGCAGGACGCGGTTAGGGCCGAGCAAGGGAGCTGGGACGGTCTCGCGGCCGTCCTCTCGCCCTCGGAGATGGGCTGTGGGAGACATCACAGGGACGCGTGCTCCGACCCCCGGAGCCTCCCGAGCCCCGGTAACGACCTCAGGTTCATGCAAACCTCAGCTCTCCTCTCCTTTGTTCCCTTCCAGCACGAGGACGGACCAACCTTGAACTCCGCGAGAAGTTCATCTTGCCGGAGGGGGCCTCCCAGGGAATGACACCCTTCCGATCGCGAGGCCGAAGATCAAAACCGTCCTCGCGGGCAGCCTCCCCGACGCGATCCAGTTCCAGTGCCAGCCAGAGCAACCACAGCTGTGCCTCCATGCCGTCTTCTCCCGCAACTCCAGCCAGCGGAGCCAAGGTGGGGCTTGCGCGTGAAGCCTTCCTCTTTCTTCTCCTTTAGAAACCAGTGGCCTCCAAACCCGTCCTGGTGAGATGAGGAGCTGCAGGCGGTGTGAGGAGGAGGAGGAGGAGGAGGAAGGTTGGGGGTCAGGGACTTGATGGTGACTGTCGTCTCTAGAAGATGCTCGTGGTGTCTGCAGGCAGAACCCTGCTGTCCACGTAGGATGGGTGGGGTGGGACGGCACAGGACAGATTTTCAGCCCAAGCTGGGCGCTCGTGGCTCTGCAGGAGGGTCCCCGGCACTCGCCACGCAGCCGAAGGCTCCTGGTCCCCGAGGCAAGGCTGTGCCGCAGCCGTGGTGCCCGGCTGGCACGCAGGAAGAAGCCGTCGCCCGCCGTCTCTCCTTTCCCACCACATTGCTCGTCCATGCACGTTTTATTTCATCATCTGTTTGGGTTTTTCCCCTTTATTTTAATTCACGTATTTCCTGTTTGGTTCTTGTTTCATTTTAGTGCTGTTTTCCCCCATTCCAGATACTTTTCCGTTTCTTTTTTTTTTTTTTTTCCTTCACTCACTCCCCCCCCTCCTTGGATTTTCCATTTCACAGACTCCACATCACTTCTCTCGATGTTATGACAAACCCTGGTTGATAAACAGTAAAGCGGGCACCCCCCTGAGGGGATTCGATTATTCCAACTTCCAGCTCTCGAGCGCCGAGGTAGAGTATGGTCTCGCAGCCCCGAGGACCTGCTGACAGGCCGGAGTGCCGCTGGCACGGAGAAATCCTGCTCCCTTGCCTGTTTTAACGCTTTCCTCGTGGTAGAGCAGCGCTTGGTAGCACCGCTGACGCTCAGACTGTTAGCGTTTTTCATGGGTTTCTAACTCGGATTAAATAAAACCTCAACTTTTAGAATGAAGCACAACTGCTTGCGATTCACCTTCACCCACTTTCAAACCGAGAGCGCGACACTTGCCCTCTTGTGCTTTACAAAAAAAAAAAAAAAAGACGTTTTGCCAAGCTTTGACAGCTTTTAAGCGTCGAAAAGCGGCCACGTTTGGCTTCCAAAAATCGAAATCCAGCAACCGAGTTGAGACCTGAAAATCAGCTACAGCGCATGCACAGTAACCACATCGCCTTCATTTTTATGAAGCGCTTGTATTTATCACCGTGTTGAAGCACGTATGGTGTGTCCGGCACTGTCACCAGCTTCATGCTCCAAGGAGGATAAATTCGGGCTGAGGCTTTGATCCCCCTAAAGTTTCAGCCTCCTCGTGGACTTTCCTGACCTTGCGAATCGGTGATGAGAAATACCTGGTAGATCTCGGTGATTCACTGAGCGGTGGTGTGTGCTGGCAAGAGAACCGCGTCTTGCCCGGCCGTGCTTTCACGCAGAAAAGGAATTATTTTCAAATCATCCGAAGGTCAGGAGCACTTCCCCAGTTGCCCTAAACTGCCTGCTTGCTGCCGTTAACATGTTCATAAAATAGGATCAAGGACAAGAATCGGAATCTGTGATGATGAAAACGGTACCTTTGCGATCACGCGTTAATGGATTTTAATCGCCCCGGCGCCCGAAGGGGAGCCCGCTGCTCGGCTGCCCCTCTCCCCCCGCCCTCTCCCCCGCT